AAAGTTATCGAATGTTTTTGGCTGGAGTTATCCAAAAATAATGTGATTAACTAATGTTTTCTCTGCTCTACACTATTCCGAAATAATCAGTTTTCCTGGAAATGAGAGGGAATAACATAACAATTACTCTCAGCTAAGTCAGTAACAAGTTTGATTGGGAACATATTTTAACGATACACCTTTCGTATTGTTAGAGGAAAATGGAATGGATATAGAATTTGACGAAAAGAATCTAACCCTGCTAACTATTATGCTGCTAAGGCCTTGAGATATGATCACTCTTGCGAATTTGCAGGCTAGAAGATTAAATGACAAAAAATCTATTTACACTAAATATGTTATTAAAATATCTCGTCAGTAATATGTTAAAAAATTTATACCAAATGAATCTGCGAGTGCAAAGGTTGATTTTAAATATTCACCTAGGGAAAATGTTTATATACGGTGGATAGTGGTTAACAGTGGTTTTGTCAAGCAATTCCCTATTTTTAGCCCGTTAAAAAACAGTGAATCCTAATTTTTTCACGGCTAAATGAGCTGGAGGAGGGGGTGGGTAAGAGCAGTTTGCTTTCAAATTTTTTGAAGTGGAGGAAGGAATCTAAGATAGTTTGTAAACATCTAGTTGGTAAGCATCTGAGGTAGTAAATATAAATAGGCATCTAAGGTAGTAGGTGGTAAGCAAAGGTGGGTAGGTATCTAATATGGATATAGTTTATTGGGGGGGGGGGGGTTGATTAGCAATTGCATTTTATGAAATAGTAAAAATATATTTAACAATTAAATCATAGGCGTAGCCAGGATTTTGTTAAGGAGGAGAGGGAAACAGTATTAGATGCTTTTTCCACTAAATATTATTGGAGGTCCTTAGGGTTATTTATTGATTTATTGTGGGCCTTTGGATAGTTAGAATTTTATAAAAATAATATTATTTTTTCTCATTTTTTAATGAAAAAACTTTGAATTATAGTTATTATATTAAATGGTTATAAAGTTTTACTAATTTTTAATATAAATTCTTGTTTATAATTATATTCTCTAGATTTTTGAGCGTAAGGGGATTTAGGAGGGGGGGGGGTGGGGGGGGATTAGTTAATAATGCTATTTACAGGAATAGGCAAATTTCAGAGATCTCCTCCTCCCGACTACACCTATGATTGAATTAAGGGCCTATTCTAATATACATTGATTACTAAAAATTAATCAAATTTGGCCAAAAACTATCACTCTAGATTTGGGTTTTATTGATGGTTCAAGATGGAAATATATATAATTGAAAAGGAAGGAATTCCTAGTTCCTACCCCTTTATTATTCTTATCTAGATAACAAGAATTTGTTGGCCTTTCCAAAAAACTGACGCGATTTTGAGAAAAGGGGCCCCGCATAATTCAAGTATGTTCTCCATAGAACGAGTCATAGACCAGCGAGATAAATGGACAAATTCTTAATTTATATTTTTTGGCATACACCTTATCAGAATTTAAGTTACCTAACTATAATTAGTATCTATCACATAAGAGGTATAAGAGAAAATCGTCAAATATTATAGAGGGAGAGTAGGGAGCTGTTAAGATGCAATCAACATTAAGATATAAGGAGTGGAAAAGAGCAGCGTCTATATGACAGGATTTTCACTGGATGCAAAGCCCCTTCAAAAACCTGTGCCTACCCCCCCCCCCCCTAAAAATTCCCGATCACCTTTTTAATTTATTGATACACTTTTCAGAGAATTAATAAAGGATAACTTAAATTAATCTATCTCTACTACCAACTATCTATATTTTGTGAATATAAAGAATTTATTATTTAGATAATAAATTTAATTAAAACCTACATTATTTACAATGAATTAATTATTATGGCATTATGAGCTTGCTAAAATATCTAAACCTTTTAAATTACATTACAAAGGATAGCAGAAAGTTTTATTTGGAAAACAATGTGTATGATTGTTTGCAATATATAGATTTTGTCGATGAATTGTATTATAATAATTTTATAATAAAAGTATTAATTTTTACAGCAATAAATTTTGTCCTATTTGATCTCAAAATTTAATAGATAACCCCCCCCCCCCCACCCCCAAAAAATTATCATACCCCCATTAAAGCAGCCTACCCCCTCAAAAAAATAGGATGCAAAGCAAACTGTTCCTACCCCTCCCGCTCATGTAGACGCTGGAAAATAGTAAATATATAGATGTTGCAATATCCGAAATTTTAATTTATTTAATAAAACAACATGTTAAATTTGGGAAACAAATTATACATAATATTCATGTAAAATGTTTATATATTACAATTCAACATTCAAACTTAAATTATGAATGAATTAATCTCGACTTTTACATTATTTACCTAACATTTATCATTTCAAATGATAAACTTTAATTTATTATTCTAATTTGTATTTTTAATTATCTATATATATATAGATATATATATCAGAGACCTGCAGAGACACTATTTGCATGGTCCTGTTTTAATTTTAAAAAACCGTTGCGTAATTATTTTTAAAAAATTTTATCGGCCCAGCTCGGATTTTTATTTAAATTATTTGGCCCGACACATTTTATATTTTCAGTTCAGACTTGGCTCAAATTATTTTAAAAATTTTCTACCCGGATTTCTATAAGAAAATATTGGCCAGGATATCTAATTTTCTAGGCCTTGCTCCTTAAAAAAATTAAAATAACTGTTCGGAATTTAATATATAATTTTTTAGCTAATATGAATTCCATATAAACCTATTCCATTATTGTTTTAACTTTATGCACCAATATGCAAAGGCGTAACTAGCCTTTACAATCTCAGGGGGCTCGAAAATTTTTTTTAGCTTACATTATCTAAAACTACATTGTTTTTTTTCTTTTAGTTATACCAAAATTACATTTTTTTTTAGCTAACTTTATCCAAAATTATCACTTTATTTTAGTTAATATTATCAAAATTACATTGATATATAAAAAAAACTCAAAATTATAAGGGGGCTCTTCAAATATTTTAGGGGGGTTCTAACTCCCCCCTCTACCCCCCCCCCCCCTTCCTTTAATGACGCTACTGCCAATATATGGTGTAAAGCTCTTACTGATATCCCTTATAAATCTCAAAATATCAACAATAATCTTATTAGCTAAAATTTATATAATAGATTAAATATCATAAAAATATTTTAACCTGTGTGTAGAATCTCATTAACAAAATTAAATCGCACCACCCTTACATATTAATTCTAAGGGCTATGTCATTATAATTGTCTTCCTCCATTCTGAAAAGATTAATAATATTTTCACTTTTGGATATTAAATCTTATTTCCTTGAGGCTATATATATTCAATTCTAAAAATGTATTTGATTCTAAATTAGTTATTGATTTAAATTACAACATCTTTCGATAGTGTTTAAATATAAAAGGTTTTATAAGAATAAAATATAACTTTATTTTCACAATATGAAAAGATCAAAAGATAATTTAACTTTAACAATAACATGTTTATATATTTATCGAAAGTACATTTACGATAATAAATCAATTATCATAAATTGAATCCTTAAACAAAATACAATTTATTTAAAATTATTCCAATACCGTTCTCCCTTACAAATTGAATTCGTCCTGATAACGTAGTGGGGGTTTCGAAATTCTTTATTTAAAAGTTGTATTTCCATTATATTCTTCATTGTAATCTTTTATCATTGTTATGGGTATTTCCTTAGCTTGAAAGCATTCCTCAGTTAATCGGCATGCTTGCTTTTTACAATGCACTCAACTCAACATATAATATTGCACTTTTCCGTTGAACCACTGTTCCTTCATGCCATCCGGTAGTCCTTTCGTTCTCTAGCCAAATCTGCCTTTTTAGTCTTTTCTCCCGCAGATAATTTCCATTGATCTAGTGTTGTCCTGAGTGGCCTTCCAACCATGGCAGGGTATATACCGGTAATTACATTTGGTGTATTTACGCAAGTAATTAAGATATTGAGTAAATTTGACTGGTCAGGGATCTCCTTACAGACACGCGTCTTTATCGTTATAATACTCAGTAAAATCATTTGATTTTGGGCTATAATGGGCCGATCAATTAGAGAAAATTTTATCCTCGTCGCCAATGTGGTGTTAAAGATATAAAAACCTTAATAAGAATAAAATATAATTATATTTTCACATCAAAAGATAAACCTAAACAATAATATGTTTTTATATTATATTCATCGAAAACGATAATCAATTACTTGCCATAAATTGCTTTTATACTAAATATAATACAATTTATTTAAAATTAATATATTACAGTTTCAATAAATTTTATATATTATATATAAATTTAAATTAGAAAATGTGTTGATCCTATCACAGAAACTAGATAAAGATTTTTGGAAAAAGCTGATTATTATCTTACTATTATATCGATTTTGCGCATTTTCTAGTTTAATTTGTGAATTGCAGTCAATATACCCCTACAGTCTTTATACACCGGCCTGTGTACCAGGGCCTAGCCTAGCGCCGGGACTGTAAGTCTCTTATATATCTTCATCAATTTTAGTTCAGTATATTCATAGATTTTAGTTCAGTTATATATGATGTAATGTAATATAATGATATTTAGAATCCCTGCTCATCCATTAATAAGGATAAATTTGAATTCTTTCGTTAAATTTAATTTTGAAATTTATTTTTAGGAGATTTATATCTGGTAATTTTCCTTTTGATCAGATTTTTTTATATTAGAGGGGGTAGAGGAATAGTTTTGATTTTTTCCTTATTGCTAATTTTGACTTTGTAAGAGAGGGTAAAATTTAGAGGGAGTGGTAGAGAATAAGATAGAGATGAAAAGTACCTGATTGTTAATGACCACTTAGTTAATATATATTTATTTTTATAAAATTGGATTTATTATATATTTATAATGTTAAATAATTCCTTATATACTATGGAATGAAAAAAAATTTCAGAAATTATATGATCATCACTTCAAATAACTGTCAATCATTATATTATGTAGCTAATAAGCTTAAACTACAAATTTACAGATGATTACCAAAAATGAAATTTTAAGAGTACTTAAAGAAAAGTTTGGGCATGAAAATTTTGTTAATGATATTCAATTTCAAGCAATAAAATCTTTGATAAATGGTAATTATTATAAAAATAATCATTTTTGTTAAATTTTAATGTGAAATTCCATTAATAGTGTAATCAATTACTAAATCTTTTTAAATTTAATTTGCATATATGGTATTCAAAAATATAAGTTTAAATTAAAATATAAATTTACATTAATAGTAATTATATCTTATTATAAATTACTACTCTTCTTATTTTTATGTTTATTGCTATATAAAAAAATGTATCTTACATTTCTTTTGTGTTTATATTAGATAATAGCTTAAATCTATATATTTTCATTAATTTATAGTTAGTTAATACAATATATTTTTATTAATTTATTTTAATATTTAATCAATCATTGTATAAATATAGCCTAATTCTCAGTAACCACCTAATATAATTCATAATTCTTTTATATATTTTGAAGAACTGTAAGAATTTCTATAAATATTATTTTAAAATGTGGCATGAACTGTACATAAAAGTTGTCATTTTCAAGCTAAGATTTAAAAAAATTTTTTTTTGGTATACCCTTATTTTTTATCACTACACACTCAACCCATTCCATATTTTAAAATGTTTAATTTTAAGGCCTAACCTGTGTTTTTATACTTTGATCATTTTATTTGGTCTATCTTATAAATGGCTTCAAAGAGAAATGAAAAATATGAGAAGTGAATTAATGTCAAATGATCAATTTTGTGATTTTACAACTGTTTAATTTCTTTATTTAATATTAATTTTTTAAAAGTCTGGCCTAAATTTTTAAAATCATACAATTATCTAGCCCATTCCAAGCTGGGTTGGCAGATATTTATTATTTTATATTAATGCATAATTTTTTATATATCCAGATTCCAACAAAAATTTGTTTGTATGCATGCCAACTGGTGCTGGTAAGTCATTATGTTTCCAGTTACCCATCATGTTCGCACCTCACAATAATTTAGCTATCATTGTTTCACCCTTATTAGCTCTTATACATGATCAAACCACTTATTTAAATTCAATAGGCCTGCGTGCTGAAACACTAAATTCCTCTATCCCACCTGAAACTCGAAAATCTATTATAAAAGATTTATACAGGCAAATTAATAGCAACTCTAATGATGACAGCACCAAAATTATTTCGAACAATGCTTTTCACAGAATGATGAGTAATGCTAATTGTGCTAGTCAGGATCTTAGAAAGAGAAAATATAATAAAATCATTACTTCACTTGATTACGAATTCCCCTTTTCATCGTCTAAGAAAAAAAGTAAACCCTCACCAGTTAGCACCATAAAAGACCATTTAGAACTCCCAAAAATGCAAACCTTATTACCTATAAAATTTTTATACGTTACACCCGAAATGTTGGCAAAGTCTCAATGGTTTTCTGACATTATTAAATCCATGATTGAAAAAAACTTAATCTCTTACTTTGTGATAGACGAAGCTCACTGTGTTTCCCAATGGGGACACGATTTTAGACCCGATTACCTTAAACTGAAAAACGCCTTAAAATTATTTTCTCCTAAACCAACTGCAGAACCACAAAACAAAATATCTAGTATTAATACTACTATCGTCCCTTGCATAGCCTTAACCGCGACCTCTCCTTTTCATGTCAGGGATGATATAATAAAATCATTAGGCTTTGAACCACAAACTCTAATTGTACTGAAAACTCCATGCTTTCGATCGAATTTGTTTTACGAAGTTGGGTTCAGGGATTGCCCTTCTTCCGATCTTAATTCATCATCATCCGAATATGTGGACAATGAAGAATACGATTATAAACAATTAGTTGAATACATCAAAGGTATGAAGCAAAGGTTGCGCAACTACAATGCTAAGATTGATCTTGAAACTAACTTAGCAGTAAATACCAGAGATGGGAAAGTCAATGATTGCAAAATCTTGTCCGGTCTTATCTATTGCCGAACGAGAGAGGAATGTGATACATTGGCTATAAAACTTAATAAAACGGGTATTACTAGCTTATCTTATCATGCTGGTATAAAAGACAAGGAGAGGCGTGAGATTCAAAATGCTTGGATGCACGATAAGGTTCCCATCATAGTGGCTACCGTCAGTTTCGGAATGGGCATCAATAAATCCAACGTCCGTTTTGTTGTGCACTGGAATCTTCCTAAATCATTGACTCATTATTATCAAGAATCGGGGAGGGCTGGAAGAGACGGGAAAATGGCTCACTGTCTCCTATATTATTCTCTCAAAGATCGCAAGATCGTGTCCTTCTTTAACACCCAGGAAAACAACAAGATGAGATTCAAACATAAGAATTCACCCAAAGACATGTCCAGCGTTGATAAAAGCATAGAAGCCAAAAAGATAGCCTTTGACGCCATTATTGATTATTGTGAAACCTTAAAATGCAGACATCATTCTATTTCTAAATTCTTTGGCGACGACAACCCGACATGTGCAAATAGATGCGATTACTGCAGCGCCAACGAACGACTTAAGGCTAGACTTAAACATTTTAAAGATCACAATGAATCTAAATTCTCCTTGAAAAATAGTAGACCCAACTATTATTCTCGCCCAAACGTAGGGGATCAAAACACAAACGACCAACTTTATGGCCAATGCGATTCAGAATCAGATTACGGAGTTGAAAATGAGTTTGATGGTAATGACGGGCTTGGTGAGACGATTAAGGAGGAGTTTAATCGTCGCAAACAGAAGGTAATGCCAATATCCAATAAAAAAAATAAAATTTTATCTTCCAACTCCTCCGTTCAAAATATCAAATCCAACACCTCAAATATTTCTGAAGAAATTAAGCTTTATTTAAGGCAGAAACTAGAGGGAGCCCTCCTCGAGCTATTTACTAAAATGAAGGATCGTACTATAGAGTCAGATTATCCAGAGAATCATGTATATAATACAATTAACGAAACAAAATCTGTGGAAGATATAGCCCTAAAAATCGAAAAAAAACTTTTGCATAATGTCAAAATAGCGAACGTTTATAAAGCTAGAATGTTAAAGGATATTAAAGAAGTACAAAGGATTCAAGACATTGTATTGAAAAAAGAGGTTTCTTTGCATGAAGGTTACTTAATTCTTGAAGCATTCTTGGAAACGCACTGTTACCAGTTTAAATCACAATCCTTAACCCAAATTGCACTAAATGTTTCCTCATCCTTTCGTGCAGCCAGTACCTTATTAAAATTATAAATTTTTTTAACATTAATTGCCTTTTCAGGGAACGAATTTTTTTTCAGGTATTTGAATGTGAATGATCACATTAAAAAAAAATAATATTGTAGTATAAATAAAATATAAATCAAGAAAATGGTTAAAATAAAGTATGTGCATTTTAAAAATTGTATTTACTTTTCATTATCCGATTAATTATTGTTATACTATAATAAATAATATAATCAAGAATTTGGTATAATTTTACTTGTAAAATTAAGATTTTATTACCTAATAGAATATGATTTTTCAGGATTGATATTTGATTTTTAGTTAGAATATCATATCACATTGTGTAGTATAACATGAATTTTTTTATAGTGTTATTCCTAGAGATGGAACAAAAGGGTTCTCAGCACGCCTAAATCTAATTAGAACACAGCATTTTTGCTTTTAAACACACCAATTTTTTTTTTATAAAATGGTTGTAACCAGGGCGTGCCCTAATTTTCTTTTTTTAAGATTCAGGCTCATATTTAATTTTTCTGTTAAACAAAAGTATCTTCATTTCAAGGTATAAAATTCATCTTGTATTTTTATGGATACATCAAATCTAGACAATATTCCAAAGTGTATTGTGGCCGTATTTGTTATACCAAATGTTTGTGTTAATATCGGGTCATTCCATATCAAATCTATAAAAATACATATGATTTTTGGTCTATCACTTTAGATTGATTGTATGAGATATAGTATATAAATAAAGGCTCATGTAACCCACCACTTCTCCTAGCCTTTTTAGGAAGCTAGAAGCATAATAAATGACCTTTTTGACACCTGTGTGGTAGTTAGTACCATGGATCCATGTAGCCCAGGGACCGTGTGGCCCATGGCCCGTTAAATTATCAATATAATATTAATATTGTCCATAGCTCAAAAATGTTAATTTTTTTATTCTTTATTTCCCCCTAAATACAACAAAACGGTAAGAAAAAATTTAAAAATAATGGTAAGAGGTAACAACGAAATTATTTTTTGTATCACTTTATTATAAGCTATGAAAAATTTTTCAAAATCAAGCCGTAATTTAGAATCCTGATATATTGGAATCCTTCATAATTTTTGTATCATAATTGGAAATTAGTTCCTAAATGTTTCATAATCATATCATGTTTTCAAGTGCTGTAAACATTTCTAAAACAATCAAACCTGGTCAACGTTGATTGACAAAAATCGAATAAATTCACGTTTAACGTTCATTCAATAAAAAAGGAGCACGTTCGTTCAAAACTTTATGAAGAATTTTTTTTTGAAAAATAAATGATTTACATTTTTAACAATAATTTAGCCATTTATAAAATTAATAGTTTATTTTGATATATATAATATAAATACAATGTATTATAATGAATAAAAAAATTATTTTACCTATAAAAATTATTTTACATTTTCATTTTTTAATATATAAAAACTTTTATATATCATAAAATTTATGAATTTGATACTTTAAATTGTGTTCAACAATTAAAATATAAAACCCTTGATAAAAAAGTAAAAATAATAGTGATTAGATTTTAATTAAAGAATTCCACTAAAAATAAATAAATTTTATATTAATTAATTTTAGAGCTGTAGAGTATCGATAAAAGTAACGTCGTTATCATTTTTAAGGAAGGAACGCAATTCGTTACTTGTTGCAAAAGGTAACGAGTTAATTTTTTGACTAATGTAACGCAAAACGTTACATTAAATATTTTTAAAAAAATAAGGAAATATATTTTTTTATATATATTTTTTATAAATAATTTTAGCCGAGTTTTTAATTCAGATCAACCGTCAAAGTTCTTCATTTTTAGTTTATTACATTTTTGTTTTTGAATTTTATATCAATATTGTTCTAATCAATATTGTTAATCTAATTAATATTGAATAATGAAGGTTCTTAAAATATTTTAAATACAGTCTCTCAATTTTATAATACAACCCTTACATCCTCTCCGCCAGTCGAATGTATAATTAGCTGAGAACTAAGCTCTCTTGTTTATCTGTTCAAAATTTTGAAAGTCAATTTATAAAAGTATTTTAGTAGTATTTCTTTTTTTGACCTCATTGAGTTCCTTTAAACGTAATGAATAATGCGTTTTTGAGGGAATATTTACTAGTGTTGTTAAACGGCTTGTTTTGAGCCGATTTTTGAAAACAGCTAACTCAATATTTTAGCTAGAAATATATTGCCTAAGCCTCGAGATTTCTATAATTTATGTTCTTGACCTTTGTTCCTTCTATGAACAAAATCTTCAGGCTTTCGTAATAATTTTCTGGGTGAAATATTGAGTTAGCCGTTTCTAAAAATCGGCTTAAGACAAGCCGTTTAACAACACTAACCTTTACAGCACTAACTATCATATAATCTAAAATAAATTATTAATAGACTACTTTATATTATATAAATTAATTAATATTAAAATCAGGGACCCGGAGTAACCGTAACCAACCTTTGAACCATTATAAACCGTTATAAATATCAGAACCGTAACCGTAATCGAACCGAAATAATAATTTTTTGAAGGAGTAAAAAGAACCTTTATAAAAAAAGGTTAAACCGGTTCAGATTTTATATTTTAGGAATCAAATAAATTTGAATATCCAAAATTATATTAACTTGCTCTTATAGTACTGGCGGTTCCCGCAACACAAGTTTCTGTAGAAAGGGTCTTTTCGGGGCTAAAATTTGTATCCATTTATATTAGAAAATATATTACTTATAATATATTTAAAAATGAATTATTATGAATCTTATATATTTTTTATATATAATTCATAGATGCTTATAATAAAAATAAATTAGACGATGGCGTTGCTTCAATAAAAAAAAATTTCTAACCGTAATGAACCTTTATAATTAGCTGAACCGAACCTTTGTAAATTTTTTCTTAAGAACCGTAACCAAAACGTAACCATTATAATTTTTTACATACTGAATTGTAACCAAATAACGGTTCGGGTCCCTGATTAAAATCAAATGCCTTTTTAAATTAGAACCTGAAGATTTTGCTATTATACTTTTTAAATTCTATCCTTACAATTGATATAGAATTAGTTCCTTGAATATAGAATGTTAATGTAAAATATATTTATAATATTCGGGCCATGATAATAGGGCTGTGCCGATATTTATTATCAGATCGGCACCGATATTTGGCGTTTTCAAAAAATATCCGACAGAGCCGATATTTTTTGAAAGCCGATCCGATACTTTTTATTGTTTTTGGTTATTTTAAGAATCATATAATTTTATTTTATAAATAATTTCATAATAATAAATTTATAAAAGGAACTAAAATACAATTTACTTGTAATGTTTACAAAATAGTTTAAAACTTTACACTATTTTTTATTACATTATCCGGAACAAGAAAAGGTTTTTAAAATATCTAACGAGTCAAGTTCAATCACGATTTAATTTAGCCAATTTTAAAAATGGTTAACCCAAGATTTTGGTCAAAAGTAAATTACCCATGTTTATTGATCTTGCCCACAGATGGCAGAGAGGTTTGGACTTCTCTTGGCGAAATTTCGAGGCTTAGGTATTAATATTTTGGTTAAAATTTTGATTTAGCTCTTTTTAATAATGGGCTAAATGGAGCTATTTGACAACACTACATTCATCCATAAACATTGCAAATATTTTAAATGGTATTAACTTCTGGAGACAAAAATAAATAAAATACATTTAATCATTCGTAAAAAGTTGGTCTTTTTAAATAGAAAAGAAATATTGACATTGATATAAAAATAGATGGTAAATAAAAATTAATTGATTTTTTTAGTTATTGGATCGAATCGGTGAAAAATTTATGGATTGAAGATTTTGCCATAGATGGCACAAAGGTTTGGACATCTATTAGCGGAATCTCTAGGCTTAGGTAAATTTTCTGTCTAAATGATTTAGTTAGCTGTTTTTAAAAATCGGCTCAAAAGGAGCGATTTTGCATTACTACACATGTATGAATATTAAATCACTATTTGATTTACAAGGGGCAATATCGGAGTCTCTAACTCTTTAAAAGAATTAACTTGCATACTTGGAACAACTGATCATGATGCTATCCATTAATGAGATCTGGAGGAAATTTCTGGATGATGTTTTCAAAATCATACCATACAACTTATAACATGTTTTTTATTAATAACAAATGCATGGCATGACTTTTGTGTAAATGAGGTGATTGAGTTGCTTAGGACCAGTAATAAACTCGAATTTTCCTAGGATAAGGTTTCCACAAAAAACGAGATAAAATTATGTATTTCATTTGCCACTTAATTAAATGCATTAAAAAAATATATAGTATTTTTATATTTGCATGAAAGAATTTACAAATTTGAACATGTTCTTTTAAAAATGAACATTGAACACAAACGTATTTAATTTTTGCATGAAGTACAATCGAAGAAAATATTGCAAAAATAGCAATATACTAAAGTTCATAAAGTGGCTAATAATCTTTTAACAGTTCAGATATAAATTAGAATTTTAGAAATGATAGTAAATTACCTACAAATTATTTTATAAAATCACGAGGCTCAAACTGGTCAGAGGAATTTTAGCAATTCGGCTAAGATAGAAGATCATTCAATTGTTTACACTTAATAAAAAATAATAATTTGGATCCATAGCTTAAGGGTAATTCCATGAGAAATCGACCAGTTATAAGGCCGATCATCACAAAAATAGATGAAACTTGGCATGTTAGCTATTTATGTTGTAAAGTTAATAAAATCAAAATTTTAGAGTGCTGGCTCAATCAGATCCAAAGATAGAAACCTTCAAAGTAGAAAATCGCGAAGTGCGAGATTTCATTAAATCTAGTTTTTTTAAAATACTTAAGATGGAGTTACAATTTATATATCATTTTATAGCCCTTAAAATTTTACATTGGAAAATATCGAAAAAAAATTAAAAAATTCCAATTGTTTTCTTATTTCCTGTGAAAATAAAAAATTAACATTGTTAGGAAGGGATTTTTTTTAGGTATTGATTTTCTCTAAAAATGTTTTTACCTTTATATTAAACGATTTAATAAAAAATCTCGATAGCCATTTTTGTTTTTTAAATTTTATTAAAATTTTATTATTTTTATAAATAAAAAAGGTAATATAGATGG